TTACACAACTTACCTAACACATTGGCCATGCAAATATTTTGACAATTGGGATAAATCATCCCCATTATATACACTACTTCTCCATTCTTTTATATCTCATTTCTCATTTTATATATCACATTTTATAACTCATGATTGCAATCTGAATTTTATTAAGATTACATCTGGAGAGATGAGTTTCCTCAACACATATGTAATCCTTCAGGGATGTGAAAACGAGGAACCTATAGGACCGTAATGGCGAACCTATGGCATGCGTGCCAGAGGTGGCACACATAGCCATATTGGTGGGCACATGAGCTCAGCTTCGGTGTACTTGTGCTGTTTCCGTCCTCCCCAGACTCCTAGAAAGGCTCTGGAGGCTGAGGGGAATAAAAAATGGGCCTACCGTGCCATCACATGCCAGGAGCGGAGGGTGGGACCGATTGGGAGGTTGTATGTGCATGCGTGGGGGCAGGGTGCATAGAATTAGGGGTCTGGGTGCATACGTGCATGACCCCCCCTGCTCTTGGCACACGATGGCAAAAAGGTTAGCCATCACTGCTATAGGAGGTACTCATGAACCTTTATATGGCACAGAAAAGGACAATGATAGGGTCCATTGTCCCATTCATATGATTCTTAGTAATTTCTCCAACCGAAAAAGCTTTTCCTAAATATAGCATGTTGCACTGAAGTGCTTGTGATACATTTCTTGACAAGTTCAAGTTCCCTTCTTAGAAAAATAATAAAGGAGTGGTTATGAAGGGATTTTATCATTTGTTCTCTCTACTTACTATGTTTCCATTAATTTCTCATAATAATCTGTTAGAAATAGGTGAAAATATATTCATATCAGATTTAATTTGTTTTACGAATATATCTCTAGAACTCAGTATGGAACAATTGTTCCACCTTCAGCAAATCTACTGATATTCAGGCAGATGCCAGTAAAACACATAATTGAAATAGCCTTCCAGATTGGATCAAAGCCAAGATTTAGGAACAGTGAAATTATTTCTATGGGAGGTAAAATCAAGTGGCTCATTTCATCTTACTGCTCCTGGATCTCACTTCTGCATTGTGTAACTGCATATATGGCCATACTATATAGACCAATCAACTTGCTAGCAGGATCATGAAAAACAACAAGGTAGTTCATTAAAACAAGTGTAGTAATGCAGGCAGTTTAAACATTTTGGTTTTTAAAGGGGCAGGGGATATTTATTTTGTTGTGAAAGTGATTGGAGAGAACAAAGCACTCTTTAAAAAGATAAAGGTTCCCCTTGCACATATGTGCTAGTCGTTCCCAATTCTAGGGGGCGGTGCTCATCTCCGTTCCAAAGGTGGTCCCTATTTTTCTACTTGTATTTTTTATGTGCTTTCGAACTGCTAGGTTGGCAGAAGCTGGGACAAGTAACAGGACCTCACCTGTTACATGGCACTAAGGATTCGAACTGCTGAACTGCTGACTTCAGTGTCTTAGCCAATGAGCCACTGCGTCCCTAAAAGCACTCTTTAGAGCTGGCAAAAAAATAGCACTAGTTGTCTGACTATTCTTTCCAGATGTCTGTAGGCTAGAAATGTCAAATGATGTTTGGCTGCTGGTCAGTAGTGGGTTCCACTTACCTTCGCTACCGGTTTGGAATCGGTATGTGTGCATGCGCAGAGCATCCATGTTGATGTGAGGGTGGGCGGAGCATCCCGCTGCCACCACTACTGTTTCGCCCAAACTGGGATGAACCGGTAGAAACCCACCACTGCTGCTGGTACTTTCTGAGGTCTATATACTTGAAAACATATAAATAGCCACATCCTCAGAGTGTCTTAATGTCCTTGAACTGTCAAATGGACAATGTCTGAATTCTGCTTGATTTTTGTAGAATCATATCAAACATGGGAAGGCTGGTGATGTGGAAATGTTCACCATCTTACAATTCATTTATTCTACTAGTCCATGAATGGTGAATGTGACCAATCCAGCTGTTCATGAGATATCATGAGGTTCATGAGATATTGCACATTTTCTTTTTCAACATAACTGACTGCTACTTGTGATGGTCTTAGATTATAGCTCTAAAACTGCAATGCAATTAGAGCAATGCAAAAGAATTGGTAGATCAATGGCACTGAAATACACTCTTTAATATATATTGAAGTCTAAAAAGCAAGAAAACAAAAGACAACCACCCAATTGTGGTTTAGCTACTACAAAAAAGGTGATTTTGATATATCAAGCAGGGCTTTGTGCAATTGAACCAGTGGTGGGATTCTGCCAGTTCTAGGCGGTTTGGCCAAACCGTTTGTTAAATTGCTGGCTTGCCCCGCCCCTTGCCCCACCCCTCCGCACCACTGGGCGAGGGGTGGGCGAGCTAGAAATTTAACAAACGGTTCGGTGGTTTTTTATAATTTTATTGGCGTCGCAGCTGCCGCGGGGCTTCAAAGGGCCGCCCTACAGCTGAGCAGTGTTAAAAGAAAACAAATGAGTAGATTGGTGCCTGCAAATATAAATGGGTAGACCCAGTGGTGGGATTCTACTTTGGTAGAACCGGTTGTTAAGTAGTTAAGCCAGTGGTTGCCAAAGTGGGTGGTGCCGCCCCCTGGGGGGCAGTGGGATGCCTTAGGGGGGCGGTAAGTGGCAAGGGGGGCGGCAGAGGGATGCTAGAGGCAAAGGGGGGTGACAGGGGGGCTAAGTGGCAAGGAGGGTGGCCCCCCCCCTTTGACCTGTGCCTCGCAGCACTTACCTCCTTGCAAGCAAACAGCAAGAAAAAAACAGCCTCTTTCAGCTTCAGCATAGGTTAATTAGCATGATTAGATCGGCCTCTGACTCTCAGCTGATTCGCTCTCAGCTGTTTTGCAGGCTCGTTTGCAAGCTCTTGTTTTGCAAGCTCTTTGCTTGCTGCAAAGAGTGCTGGAGCAGGTGTTTTTTTTCCCCCCTACCTAAAAGGAAACTGAAAGTAAAGCAGGCTCTGCTACAAGTGACAAAATGAGGCAGGGAGAGAGATTTCTTTTTCTTTTTCTTTCTCCTCACCAAAAAAGGTAGGTGCAAACAATGGGAAATTTAGGGCAAAAGAGGAGAGTTCAAGATTTTAAAACACAAAAGAAAAAAAGCTCTATTTAACTAGGGAATTGTAATAATTGAGATATTATTAATTGTATATTGTGTTGAAAGCAGAAATGGTTAAGTTGTGGTTTGGAGGAATATATGGGGGAAATTATTTGGTTTATTATTATTGGTAAACATAATTAATTGATTTGTAAGAAATTGGATTGCATGGAAATAATTGGAATATTCATGTTCATATTGATTAATATACAAAAAAGATAGTTATATAACTAATTGATCTATATTAAAATGTTGAATTTGTATTAAACAACTGTATTACATAATTACATAATTAACCAATGTGAGGATGGATATAAAAATAGATGACAATGGGAAGGGGTATAATATAGAATAGAAGGGAAAAATTGAATTTGATTAAGATTAGAGATGAGGATGAAGGGTAATATTGGTTTTTTTTAAAAAAATAGATGAGGAATAAATATGGTAAAAAGAAAATATAGAAATTGTAAATTTAATTGAAATGACTAAACACTGTTTAAATTTGTGAACCGGCCAAATACTCTGTTCAAAGAAAATACATTGTATGTTTGTATGTGTGTTTCTAACTATTGTTATTTATTCATATTTGTTCTTTTTTATTCTTTAAAGTTTAACAATTCATTCTTTATCTTAATATCTTTATATTTGTTTGGGGTTGGCTTTCTTCCCATTCATCTTTTTTATTGTACAGCAATCTTTTTCCTCAAACCTACCACCTCTCTCTTTTCTTTCCTTCTTACTTTCTCTTCCCCCCTCTTCTTCTCCTCCCTACTTCCTCTTCCTTTCTCCTTCTCCTCCTCTTTTCCTCCCTCTCTTACCCTCACTCCTACTCTAATTTCCCTTCCCTTCCTTCATCCCTCTCTATTGCTGTATCCTTTTATGCATCTGGACTACTCAGAGGGCTGAAAAAATTATTTTTGACTGGTCCTCACACTTTTGACCAGTCCTCGAACTTACGACTGACCTCACATTTTACGTTTTTGCCCTATATTGTCACCATGGTGAAGAGAAGCAGTTGTGAAATGAGTGACACGGTTGTTAAGAATGCTACAATGGGCATAAATGATGACCAGTCATAAGTGCGAAGACCAGTCAAAAGTGCGAGGACCTGTCAGAAATCGCTTTTTTCAGCCCTCTGGGTAGTCCTTTTGTGCACATGGACTATTCAGAGGGCTGAAAAAGTTATTTTTGACTGGTCCTCGCACTTTTGACTAGTCCTCGAACTTACGACTGTCCTCACATTTTACATTTTTGCCCTATCTTGTCACCATAATGAAGAGAAGCAGTTGTGAAATGAGTGACACGGTTGTTAAGAATGCCACAACGGGCATAAATGTGAGGATGGTCATAAGTGCGAGGACAGGTCAAAAGTGTGAGGACCAGTCAGAAATGACTTTTTTCAGCCCTCTGAGTAGTCCCTATGCACATAGCCACGCCCACCCGGTCACATGACCACCAAGCCACACCCCCAACTAAGCCACGCCCATAGAACTGGTTGTTAAAAAAATTGAATCCCACCTCTGAATTGAACTATATTTCTGGCAGGAATATCAGTTACAGAAAAGAGTAAGGGGGTGGGTGGGGAGATAATGGTATCAATTCCAGCCTGTCTGAAGAATTTGAATCTTCAGCAAAATCTATTTACAGTCTTCAAAGTGACACTGAGTCTATTAGAGGCAGCATATAAGTAAACGATCAAGTTTATCTTAAATGCTTAGATACCCATAAGTACAGAATAGCTTGAAAAGAAGAGATTATTAAGGTTAACTCTTGTGAGATAAGAAGTTGAGAAACTTGACACACAACAAGATTGTTATCACTGCTTTAAGGTAAAAATCATTACTGTAGGTGTGAATTTAATTTGTTCCTAAATAAAAAGATTGATTTTCTTTTTTTCCTCCTTTATATTTTACAGAATATATTTTCTCACTGAGATAACTTCAGATTAAAAAGAGAGAACTTCAATGGATTCATGCTTCTTTATAGTTATGGCAAAAGATACACTCAGCTTTTCATTTTTTATGTGACGTTTTGCATAATTCAGCAAAGTCTGCAATGCAAATGCTATTGCTAATACTGGTACTAGCAACATACAAATTCTTCAGTACCATCTATTTATTGAAATCAAACCCAGCATTCTTTTATGAACTTTTAAGAAATCAGTGACAGAATTAGAATGAATAGGGAAAAAAAACCTCAAGTTATTAACTCAACATCTGAAGAGTGTAAGAATCATTATGTCCCAAGAGAGAAATATTGTTTTGATTGCAAAGAAAATAAATGTCTAAATTACCCACAGTAACAGTTGACTTTAGTAGTATCCTACAATAAAATATATGATTGTTGTTAGTTGTGAAGTCATGTCCGACGCATCGCGACCCCATGGACAACATTCCTCCAGGCCTTTCTGTCCTCTACCATCCCCCGGAGTCCATTTAAGCTCACACTGACTGCTTCAGTGAATCCATCCAGCTACCTCATTCTCTACTGTCCCGTTCTTCTTTTGCCCTCAATTGTTCCCTGCATTAGGCTCTTCTCCAGTGAGTCCTTCCTTCTCATTAGGTGGCCAAAGTGTTTGAGTTTCATCTTCAGGATCTGGCCTTATAAAGAGCAGTCAGGGTTGATTTCTTCTAGGAGTGACTTGTTTGTTCGCCTTGCAGTCCAAGGGACTCACAGGAGTCTTCTCCAGCACCATAGTTCAAAGGCCTTGATTATTTGGCACTAAGCCTTCCTTATGGTCCAACTTTCACAGCCATACATTGCAACGGGGAAAACCATAGCCTTGACTATATGCACATTTGTTGGCACAGTGATGTCTCTGCTTTTTAGTATGCTGTCTAGCTTTGCCATGGCTTTCCTCCCCAGGAGCAAGTGTCTTTTAATTTCTGTGGCTGTAGTCCCTATCTGCGCTGATCTTGGAGCCCAGGAAAATAAAATCTGTCGCTACCTCCATTTCTTCCCCATATATTTGCAGTGAATTGAGAGGGCCAGGTGCCATGATCTTAGTTCTCTTAATGTTGAGTTTCAAGTCCTCTTTTGCACTCTCCTTCTTCACCCGCATCAAAAGGCTTTTTAGTTCCTCTTCACTTTCAGCCATTAGAGTAGTATTATCTGCCTATCTGAAGTTGTTGATAGTTCTCCCAGCAATCTTAATTCCAACTTGTGATTCATATAGCCCCACCTTTCTCATGATGTGCTCTGCATATAAGTTAAATAGGCAGGGCGACAGTATGCAGCCTTGCCAAACTCCTTTCTCAATTTTGAACCAATCAGTGGTTCCGTGTCCAGTTCTCACTGTTGCTTCTTGATCCGCATATAGGTTTCTCAAGAGACAAATACAATGGTCTGGTACTCCCATCTCTTTAAGAACTTGCCACAATTTGTTGTGATCCATACAATCAAAGACTTTAGCATAATCAATGAAGCAGAAGTAGATGTTTTTCTGGAACTCCCTAGCTTTCTCCATGATCCAGCATATGTTGGCAATTTGAACTCTAGTTCCTCTGCCTCTTTGAAATCCTGCCTGTACTTCTGGTAGTTCTCGGTCCACATACTGCTGGAACCTAGCTTGTAGGATTTTGAGCATAACTTTGGTAGCATGTGAAATGAGTGCAATGGTGTGGTAGTTTGAACATTCTTTGGTATTGCCAAAAAGTAAAAAAGAGATGATATTTGTGGTTAAAAAATATTGCAATAATCACTGTTGGATATTATTTGGGATTAGATGAAGAGAGAATGAGAAATCAAAATACTGATGGACCACCTATTGAATTAGTATTCATTATGGATAATTAAGAAAAACTTTAGCTGCATTTCTTCTGTTGCATTTATACATCTTAATTGCTCAATTGACTAAAACAGATCTCAGGATGAGAGATCAGTTAAATATTCAATCATTTTGATTTTTGATAGGAATTTGCCTAAATTCACTAATATGTTCATTTACGGGGTAAAAGCAATGTGAAGATTAATCATGAGTTTGAAAGAACTGTAACTGAATAATTCACCTTCTAAAGCAGGAGAGTTTTGTATTTGGCTTTGTGTTAGGGATGCTGAGTAATTTTGCTGGATTCACATTTTTAAGCAAACTGAAATGTTTCAAAATTTATAGGCTCTTTATATTTTAGATTCCTCCCTTTTCACAATTCTGTAATGCATTTCTTAGATAAAAATTTGTCCATAAAACCACACATAAATGCATACAGAAAGCTGCAGACAAACAACTTTTATTTGAAAAAACATACAAAAATAAATACATTTTAGAGAAAATGGTATACCAAAATAGGTATTATTTTGGAAAGGTACATATAATATGTATGTATGTAATGCATGAAAACAGATATGAATACCTCTATTGCTTTCAAAACAGCCTATCACTGTTGATAGGCTGTTTTGAACCGAAATGTTTTCTGTTTCATCTTGTAAAAAATCAGTGTCTGGCATTCTACTAAGCACTGAAACAAAACAGGTTTATGGGGAATAATCTTTTGAGCCTGCAGTAGAACATAGATCTTTTGAAATACGTAGTTTAATAAAGCATTATCTGACAGACTTTGAAATCAATCTGTAAATCAGAAGAAGAAATCAGTGTGCCCAATAATTAGGAATAGGTAAATCATTCATGTTTTCACAGTTTGAAATAAATGTACGTAATTCACACTTCCAGAACCAATATATAAAGCAAGATATATATTTATATTGGTACCCTTATGAATCATTCAGTGTAATTTTCCAATTAAAAAAAGCCTACATGGATCTGTGCATACATAAAACATGTATAATAAAATTTGAGGTAACATACAAAAAATGTTTGCAAAATACATATATTAAGTAAAATGTATGTAATCTTATCAGACACCTTTGTGCATGCTTTCTTCTTTTTTTTTAGTAGTTCACAACTGATAAATTTTCCAGCTGAAGTCTAAGTAAACTTAGCCCAAAATGACGGACTTCTCCAAATGTATCTGGACTACTTGGAAAGAACAAGATTCTCTTCCTTCAGAAATGGCCAATTCAGTTTTGCCTCAATATAGCTCAAGTGTAAGGTGACCAGACGTCCCGCTTTTGGCGGGACAGTCCCGCTTTTGAGCAATTTGTCCCGCGTCCCGCGGCGTTTTAAAAAAGTCCCGATTTTTCATTCTGCCTCCTGGTTCCCGGCTGCCTCCTGAATCCCCGCTGATGGCTAGAGGGAAAAAACCTGTTTAAACTCTTGCCGCGGGGCTTCAAAGGGCCGCCCTACGTTAATTAGCTCGGCTTCCCCCTCTCAGCTGATTTGCACAGGGCTCTGCTCTTGCTAAATTGCTCAGTTTTTTTTTCCTCTTTGTGCAAACCAAGCTCAAAACGAAACTGGAAGTAAAACAGGCTGTTGGCTTTGCGGTTTGCTTGCAACGTTGGAAAATTAGGCAGCAGATTTATTTTCCTTTTCCTCACCAAAAAAGGTAAGTGCAAACAATGGAAAATTATTTAGGGCAAAAGAAGAGAGTTCAAGATTTTAAAACACAAAAGAAAAAAAAGCTCTTTTTAACTAGGGAATTGTAATAATTGAGATATTATTAATTGTATACTGTGTTGAAAGCAGAAATGGTTAAGTTGTGGTTTGGAGGAATATATGGGGGAAATTATTTGGTTTATTATTATTGGTAAGTATAATTAATTGATTTGTAAGAAATTGGATTGCATGGAAATAATTGGAATATTCATGTTCATATTGATTAATATACAAAAAAGATAGTTATATAACTAATTGATTTATATTAACATGTTGAATTTGTATTAAACAACTGTATTACATAATTACATAATTAACCAATGTGAGGATGGATATAAAAATAGATGACAATGGGAAGGGGTATAAAATAGAATAGAAGGGAAAAATTGAATTTGATTAAGATTAGAGATGAGGATGAAGGGTAATATTGTTTTTTTAAAAGAATAGATGAGGAATAAATATGGCAAAAAGGAAATATAGAAATTGTAAATTTAATTGAAATGACTAAACACTGTTTAAATTTGTGAACCAGCCAAATATTCTGTTCAAAGAAAATACATTGTATGTATATGTGTTTCTAATTATTGCTATTTATTCATATTTGTTCTCTTTTATTCTTTAAAGTTTAACAATTCATTCTTTATCTTAATATCTTTATATTTGTTTGGGGTTGGCTTTCTTCCCTTTCATCTTTTTTATTGTACAGCAATCTTTCTCCTCAAACCTACCACCTCTCTTTTCTTTCCTTCTTACTTTCTCTTGCCCCCCTCTTCTTCTCCTCCCTACTTCCTCTTCCTTTCTCCTTCTCCTCCTCTCTTCCTCCCTCTCTTAACCGTCACTCCTACTCTAATTTCCCTTCCCTTCCTTCATCCCTCTCAATTACTGTATCCTTTTATGCATATGGACTACTCAGAGGGCTGAAAAAGTTATTTTTGACTGGTCCTCACACTTTTGACCAGTCCTTGAACTTACAACTGTCCTCACATTTTACATTTTTGCCCTATCTTGTCATCATGGTAAAGAGAAGCAGTTGTGAAATGAGTGACATGGTTGTTAAGAATGCTGCACGGGCATAAATGTGAGGATGTTCATAAGTGTGAGGACCAGTCAAAAGTGTGAGGACCTGTCAGAAATGACTTTTCAGCCCTCTGAGTAGTCCCTATACACATAGCCATGGCCACCGGGTCACATGACCAGCTAGCCACGCCCACCCAGTCACATGGCCTCCAAGCCATGCCCACACAATAAGCCACGCCCACAATGGTGTCCTTCTTACCAATGTTAAAATTTGTTCACCTTACCCTATACACATAGCCATGGCCACCCGGTCACATGACCAGCTAGCCACACCCACCCAGTCACATGACTAGCTAGCCACGCCCACAAAATAAGCCACGCCCACAATGTCCCTCTTTACCAATGTTAAAATCTGGTCACCTTAGTTTAGGAGCATCTTTTTGCCCTGCGTCCTTGAAACCGAGAATATTTACAGGGCAGCCAACCGCCAAGCCACATGGAGGGACAGCTACAGCTCATAGGTTCCCTTCCTATAGGTCATTAGATACTTAGAGCAGCAGTTATTTCATCTTAAATCTTGAGTAGTAAATTCTTTGTGATCATCCGTTGCATGAGACAGTATCTTTGGAATTATTGCAGGCCTTTCTGCTTACATTCTTCTGTGCCTTGATGCAATACCATTCTATTCAACTAATAGAAGAAAATAAGACTGAAAAGGTAGTTAGATTTCAGGATTTCTCACTGTCTTGGAGAAAAAAATACAGTGCTAGATGTCCTGACATAACATTCCACCCTTGGATAATCTCCCAGTTAACAAAAGATAAATTTAAGAGCATCC